TTCGAGTTAGGGCGAAAGCCTAAGAGAGTAAATGTTACACTGACTACCTAGCATCTGTTGAAAACTCTATTACCAAGAACCCTAAAAACTTCTGGAGTTTCACAAAATCGCGCTTGAATTCAAACTTTATGCCTAGTACTCTTTTTTATAACCATAAAGTAGTCAAAACTGGCAACAGCGAACTGGCTGAAGCGTTCTCAGATTACTTTAGTTCTAACTTCTTGGATGATACTAGTACACAGCCCACCTCTGATCCTGCCCATACTGACTATCCACCTTCTATTGCGGATATCTCCAAAATCTACGTCAGTGAACAAACTGTCCTCAATCTCTTGCTCAAACTTGACCAATGTAAATCTGCTGGTCCAGATCACCTGCCGGCCGTATTTTTAATAAATTGCGCAAGGTCACTAATAACGCCTGTAACTCTCCTATTTAATAAGTCTCTAGCATAATGTACTGTTCCTGCTATCTGGAAATCGGGCTTCATCACTCCAATACACAAAAAGGGTTCTAGAGATCAGGTTAATAACTACAGGCCTATTTCCAAGTTATGCATACTAAGTAAAGTCCTCGAAAAAATAGTGCACTCTCAATTATATTTAGCTATTAGACAATCACTTCACGACTTTCAGCATGGTTTCCTCCCCGGTAGATCTACCGTCACGAACCTTGCTCTACTCAATGACTTTCTTACTGATTCCATGGATAAAGGCCATCAAATTGATGTCATCTATACTGATTACAGTAAGGCCTTCGCCGGATTAACCATAGTCGTCTCCTATACAAGCTTAAATGTGTCGGCATAAGCGGAGACTTACTTCGCTGGTTTTCCTCGTATATTGAGAACAGAACACAAGCTGTAGTGGTAAATAATTACATTTCTAGCTGGGTTAAAATCCCTAGTGGTGTTCCCCAGGGCTCGCTACTGGCACCTTTACTCTTTGCTATTTTTGTTAATGATATCAACAACTGTCTGTGTAACTCTCGTCTATTATGTTTCGCAGATGACATGAAAATTTTTTCAAATATTTCCTCATTAAAAGACGCAGAAGCATTACAAAATGACTTGAGAAACTTACTTGATTATTGTACCTATAACCATCTCGATCTCAATCCTACGAAATGCTCAGTTGTTACATTTAGCCGTAAACCCAATAAATTGCTGTACGATTACCTAATTCGAGGCCAATCGTTGTCCAGAGATTATTCCGTACGCGACTTGGGAGTTATACACGACTCGAAACTTCTGTTCGATAAACATATCGAAAATATAATTGGCCGGTCTACCAGAGCCTTAGGGTTTGTGATGCGTTGCTCTAAAAACTTTAAACAAATTAAAACATTGAAAATTTTGTATTGTTGTTACGTAAGAAGTATTTTAGAATATGCATCACAGATATGGAACCCTCAATATAAAAACTATATATCTCGAATTGAACGTATCCAGATGAAATTCATTAAACACCTTTGCTACCGAGTAAATGACCACTACAACTAACCGCTACTATGATAAGTGTAGAAAGTTCCACCTCTTACCACTCGAGATGCGAAGGCAAATAGCAGATATTACCTTTCTACTTAAGATAGCTTCAAGCGAGATCGACTGTCCAGATCTACTTGAGAAGTTAAATATCAAAATTCCAAAAAATGTTAGACGAAAGGTCCCACTATCACTACCCGCAAAAAAGACTAATTATAGGCAGAATAGTTATATGTACCGTGCGAGCAAGAATTTTAATACTGTATCCCAATTGTTTAATTTAGACCTATTCAACACAAGTATCATTTCGGCGAGACGAGTTCTGAGTAAGCCATTTTTCGATTCTAGCTGATGATCCTTTTTACTTCTTTTTATTTTTCTTTCTATTTTATTTTGTTTTTTATATTATTTTGCTATTGTTGATCTGTAATGTTTAGTTACTTAATGCACGATGTTACTTAGCTAAGCTTACGGTTGGTGCGACAGTGTCCTGTTAGCTGTCGGTAACTCACCGCATGCAATTATTTATATAGTGCCACTATTTGCGAAAACCCATAAATGGTTTCCTATTGCTTAATTGTTTTCTACCTACTCTGTTTTTGTTAACCGAGGGATTTCCGATTAAATAAATAAATAAATTACTCCATAGCAAAATTCCATAAGACATTACGCTATGAAAGTAACTAAAATACACTAATCTAGCTGTCTCAATATCTGTGAGACATCTAATCTTTCTTACAGCATATGCTGCAGAACTAAGTCTACTTGCTAATTTAGATATATGGGCGCTCCATTGAAGTTTCGCGTCAATAGTAATACCGAGAAAAACAGTGGTATCCACAAGACTCAACTCCTCCCCATTTAACAGCACATTGGTATTCGAATGTTTTACATTAGGTATTGTAAATTTAATACACTTTGTCTTATTGCCGTTTAAAAGCATATTGTTGGCGTTAAACCAATGTACTAATTTCGATAGAGCATTATTTACATCGTCATAATTAATTAACTGCCGTTTGAGTTTGAAAATTAAAGAGGTATCGTCAGCAAATAATAATATATCGTGATTGTCCCCTACAAGATAAGGTAAGTCATTAATATAGATTAAAAACAGGAATGGGCCAAGAATCGAGCCCCGAGGAACGCCCATTGATACTACCGAAAACGAGAGTCAGTTTGGTGTTGAGCGGTAGGGAATTTCTCTCGGTAAATTTGTAATGCACGCGAAGCAATCCTGCAAGCTTGTCCAAGGCACATTAACATGTTGCCGTATTCACGAGCACTATAAACGTACTCGCTAGGCATTATTAAAACAAAAAAGAAACACAAAACGTAACAACAAAAATAATAACAACACGTAATAACAAGTAATACCAAGTAATAACAATAACAATTTAATAAACACAACATTTGAATGTCGCTCGCGCACGCGTATCCACAGCCAACACAAAACTGTCTGAAAAACTAAAATTAATAATGAATCCCACCAAAACTGAAGTCTACTGCATCCTAACGTCCTTGCGGTAAACACTTTGACCATTTCCACAGATCGTTAAACCGTTATGACATTGCCAACTTTTATTTTATAAGTTTAGTTTCCATATGTTATCCCCAGGAATAGTCTTCATATAGAATTTAGAAGTTATAGATTTTATACAATGGAGAAGTTTCCTGATGTTGTTAATATTATATTCAACATAATGGTATTAAAATATAAACCAAAACTAATCAATCACTGAATTTTTTTTTTGAAATCCGTCAATAAATGACTTCGAAATAGACTATTGAAGTTTACGTATTTTAGTACGGAACCACAGACGGTTTCTGATTCGCCTGTGACGTCATTTGACCTATCCGAGATCGCCGCACCACGAATCATTCAAGTAATTAGTTCTTACTATTATTTATTCTGTGGTATTGGTTTCAGAGTCGCGCCAGGGCTCTTACTTCATTCGGGTTTATTTACGTACAGTCGTGTTTCTTTTTTATTTATTTTTATTTCATTATAATGGAAGAAAGCTTCGTCTAAGGACAAAGTGATAATTTGCCTAATATTCTTATATATACAGTAATGGATTTTTTTCTTTCAATCCATCTTATGTTAGTGCTGAAATAAAAGGAGTAAAACTTTTTATGTAAATATATATGTTTTAAGTTTATTTCAACAGCCACATCTACATATGTGTAAGTATTTATAGAACACCTGCTGATACTTGGCATAATGGTCAATAACTGAAATGAAGGTGGGCAAAGTGTATCATTTTTGCGATTGGAACATTTGCATCTTGATCACTGAAATGTTCCGAAACACTGATATCTTTCATTTGGCTCATTTGTACATTCGACTCAAAAGATATAAAAGAAAGAATGTTCCGAATAGGTACATTAAGTTGCGTCGCGGGCGTTTATTACTGACTGATCCGTGAAATGTTATGTGGCAACAATGCTGAATAATATAAGTTCTTAGATTATTTATTGTGTACCGTAATAAGATTGTATATAAAATCGATTCTCCTTCATACTTTAACAAAAATGTCACTATGTCAATTCATTATTTAGAAAAATGTCCATTTGCACAAAACAGCAATGTCTATGTACACAGAATTTACTCGTAAAGTATCATAACTCTAAACTTTATGATGAAAGAAAGGATGAAAGTAAAGTCACAATAATCACTACGCAAAGAAATCCTAAACATAACTTAGTATGTTTTCGTAAACAGGCGCTAATGAATATAAACAATTTGACAAGTGCTGCATCAACGTAAAATGACAACTTGTTCATGCAAACGTTACATACAAAAAACGACCGTATAGTATTTGACACATAAGCGCCTTAGTGGTAATTTTACGTGCATAAATAACGTCGAGTTGAGTGATATACTTCTTATTTGACTTGTGTGGATTATAATTATTTCGCCCGCTCACTCGCCACTCGTGAGTCAATAGTTAAGTTAATCATTGTCTCAGTCTCTCTATCTCGCTCGTGGCTCAGTCGCCTCGCAAGCGACGCATCGCGCGAAATAAGCAAAGAGCAAAGTAATGTAAATTCACTGTTCCAGATACAAATGATACATTTGAAACGTTGTTACTGAACCAATCTTTTGTGTCACTTCAGTGATTCGTATTAGTGAGTGGTTTCCGTAAAGAGATACACACGCCTAAACTGAAATGCACGTTCTATAGCAAAGAGTATAGTAATATAGCTTGCTTATTTATATTATTACTCAACACTGGCAAAAGTATAATCGTACCAGTCCATGACCAAAGAAAAACTCCTTTTGTAGACAATGAATTAATGTCAATGTTTATGTCAAACAAACGTCAATTGTCAAATGCACGTGTGGACTTTGTGGTGTTTGTATTATCAAATATTTTAAACTTTTAAAGTTTAGTAACCTAACCACAATATCAAATGCCTTATTAAAGAAAAAAATTGTTAAGATTTATTTTTGTTATTGTCATTTAATTTGATTAAGTTTTAATTTGTAAGAGATGAAATTGTGGTAAAAATAAAAATGAAAACGAAACCCGTTAAACATAAAACTACCAACACTTTTCGGGTACGTATTTAAAATGTAAATTTCTAAAAAAATCTAGCATTTTTAAGGTTAGGTATACCTCAAAACTTGAAAACGAGATTGTACAACCAGTGCGTGTTACCAGTGATAACTTATGGATCTGAGACGTGGTCCTCCACTGCTGGCCGTATGAGGAAGCTCAAGGTTATGCTCGGGGGTTCTCTGTAAGCTTAGAATGAGGATAACCGCAGTAGAACCAGAGTAACCGACATAGCCCATCGGATTAGTAAGCTGAAGTGGCAATGGGCTGGCCATATAACTCGAAGAACCGACATCCGATGGGGAAGCTAGTTTCTCGAGTGGCAGCTTCGTACTGGTAGGCGAAGTGTGGGATGGCCCTCAACTAGATGGAGTGACAACCTGGTAAGACATGCAGGAAGGCGATGAATGCAGATGGCTGAGGACCGTGCTTTGTGGCATTCTTTGGGGGAGACCTATGTTCAGCAGTGGACTTGTAAAGGGTTGTATTGATGATTATGACTTTAAGGTTAAAATAATAATCATTCACAAAAAATCAGTGCATGTTTTATGATGCTTAAGTTATCACAAAATCATGTATTCTCAAGAGTTGACAACCAATGCATGTTGCTAGTGATGACATTTTGATCTATGGAATATATAGATTTCAAAGTCGCTCAGCTATCTTTAGAAGGGGCTTTGCGAGGAGTGTCTTTACAGGATAGAGTTGGTAATGAAGATATTTGCAGTAGAACCAGAGAAACCAACATAGCCCTAAGAATCAGAGCTGATGAAGAAATTAATTAGCCATAAAGCTCAAAAAACTGAAAAACAATGGGAAAGAAATGTTCCCTAGCGGTAGCCTCTTATCAGTTAGTAAAGTGGTGTAGGGAGGTCCCTTAGTTTATCGAAAGGCAACCTGGTAAAATATGCAAAAAGTTGAGGGGTGCAGGTGGCTTCAGATCTTGCTTTGTTATATCCTTGAGAAAGGTCTTTGTTCAGTTTTGGACATGAGAAGGACTTTAATGATGATTATGATAATGTTTTGTCTTACAATCAATGGTAAAATGATAACATACAGTTTAGAAAATCAATCAATAAATATTGGCTTCATGTATTTAGAGGTTATGATAATTATCCGTTACAGCCTATTAAAGTCTTTTGGTGAATATATGCCGTAAATTGCCTCATAGGGAAGAGATAGGCAGCCACGTGTAGATGGGGGGCAGTGTTTTCCTAATAACATGTAAAAATACAAAACTGCGGTAGCCAGCCCACTTGCTGACCCGATTGCCAAGAATAGCAACTATATCAAATATGATAATTATTATGTGTCATTAAAATTATATTAAAATTTCAGTTTATACCTTTTGCTGATAGAATTAATTCTATTGACATTCGACATGCTGCATTATACCATATTGAACATGCATACACCAGTCATCCAGAGGAAAATGAAACTCACTTTTACCTGGCTCTTCAAAAATGGCATGTGTTGAATTTAACTGAGAACTTTAAGAAGTTCAAGAAAGAAGTCTTTGGTATTGTTACTATTACACAGTTAATACACAAAAAAGAAGAAGTATTAGATATTATTGAAAAGTATTTAAAATTAGAAGATCAATTGTGTTTACAACCTTTGCTGGAGTAAGTTTATTAATTGATATCTAATATATAAAATTCTCGTGTCGCAGTGTTTGTTACCAAACTCCTCTGAAACGGCTGAACCGATTTGTATGAAATTTTGTGTGCATATCAGGTAGGTCTGAGAATCGGTCAATATCTATCTTTCAAACCCCTAAATGATAAGGGTAACACACCCAAAATATTTCTTTTTATTTTTTTGACAAATTTATTTATTTTTATTTTATTATGATTTAGCATTGAAAAATACATAAAATTTCAAAATTTCACCCTTCTATGATCAACTCCTGTTTTTTAATCGCGATTTTAAAACTAATATTTCGTAGAAATAATGTAAATGGCAAAACAACGTTTGCCGGATCAACTAGTATTACAATAAAATTGCTGGACTTTATTTTAATTATCAATAAGCAGATTTTACATTTGCTATATTAATTATTATGTTATTCACTTTATTGCCATTACACATTTTATAAGCGGCAGTAGCTTAATAGTTAAGAATAAAAAAGTGGTAGATTCAATTTTGTCTTTGAATTATTTCAGTAAATCACTCCAAACATAAGCATTTTAAGCCTGCTTAGAGTTCATAACGAGTGTACTAGTAATCTTAAGCGTAAACTATTAATACTTTTATTTTAATTTGAAAATATATGTAGGCTTATAAGGATATGTACATTAATAGACACACATATGTATGGTAATGCATTGAACAAAATACAAACCACAATTTGTGGATTCATAACATTAATGCAGAATTTAAAACACTTGACTAAAAAAGAACATACCTGATTTTTTTAAAGTGTTTTGTTTTTATTAGGCTCTTATAGTTTGCAAGATCATAATATAAATTCGCAAATGTTGCACATTTTCATAATAGTGGTAGTTCTTGCTGCAAAATGATTTTTAAAAAAAAGAATGCATTCAGTAACAACCTGCTGGGGCTTTACATCTATATATTATTTCATATATTTTAATTGAGGGAACAATTTGTAATAAATGCAATATTTCAATCAAAGATGTTTTATAGGTCCAGATACCGTGTTGCTAACACACCGCAACGTTCATAGTGAAGACAGTCTTTGATTCATGTGTGCGTGAGTACCACGTGACGCGCATATCTTACGCACCATGGCTGCATTAATGTGCGTGACGTCGGTAATAACATCGATTACCCAAAAAATGTGGGAGATTTTATATTTCATTCATATTGACGTACCTATTGATTCTAAGAGTATAAAATGTGTGTGCGTGGCGTGTGCATTTGTGTGTGTGTGTATGGGGATATGGTTGCTTATGTGTGTTTTATGTAGGTACGAACATCGCACTAAAATATTGAAGATATGTAATAAAACCTATAATTAATGTAACAGTTAAAATAAATAAAAAAGCACAGTAGATATTTATGTATGTAACATATATTTATAATCTATTATTACTAAATATATACAGAGTACTACACAGTTGTACTGTAGAACACAAAATATTGCCGCTTTTTACGAAGAAATTAAATTATTTTTCAATCCTAAGTAAAATGATGAAAAGAAGTAAGTTTGGTTAAGCGTAAACTTCAGCCAAGAGATAGCAAAATGTTTAATTTTTTTTAAATTATTCCGTTCCGTTGCTGCGTGAAGGAAGGACAAAAACAAATAAACAGAAAAATCACACTTTCACATTTATAATATTATATTAGTATGAATTGTCAAGAATGATAGATAAACTTATAAAACCGGTTTACAATCGGCTTTTTGAGGGTGACGAAGGATAACGGTTCTGAGTGACCAAAAAGGATAGAAGCACAGGAAAGTGCAATTTCATGCTGCCAGATGTAGTTCAACCCTAACCCTTAAAACGGTTTAACTCTATATGTTGGGTAAAATCTGTAAAATTAGACTGTTTAAAACCTCTATACAGACAACATTTGTGGTTGATCATGACATTAAAAAATGGTAAAAACATTTCATAGACTAGGCAACACTCGAATATTATTGCGCAGTATTATTACTTGTATTGACATTTAGCTTTCGTATTCTTTTACAAAGAAATACGCCATAAAATTGTATAGTTACTTATAAAGTGATGTTCTTATCCTTATCTTTTTTCCAAGAGTAATTTTTAAATGATTTCACAGCACAAACAGTCATTTTGCGAAATTAAAAACACCGGTGCGTGACGTATGTTCACAGCAAACGTCGCTGGCGTAATGGCGGAACCATCGAACGAATACGCCAATATTGGCGCCTTTGAAATGGAAGCGTTTTAGGCGCGCATACACGGTATCTGGACCTATAAAACATCTTTGATTTCAATGTTATTATACTAGTTAAGTAAAAAAAAAACTTTTATTGGGCTTGTTCAGAGCCCAAAAGAAAGGCAATATTTTTGGCTGGAATGTATGTTTGTACTGTTTCCATCATATTGATAATAACAGTACCTGACATTTCACACCTTTGACATTGTTTTGGGTATTTCTGGCCTGGTGTAAAGAGATTGTTCTACCTTCATCAACCAAAAGGTATGAGAACTTTTTTGCGTATCCCATTATCACCTCTTATGATACCTCTATGGGCAGAAATTGGGTGATGAATTTTATTTTTAAATTATATGTAATTAAAAACATAGTATATATCAATACTCAATCTCAGTACTATAGAGTCATATTGGTGTCTGCAATACCTTTACATTGTAACTATCAGTATGTATTTTTATAAAATTAAGTTACAAATGACCTTACATTCCATCATATGGTAAGTGGCTAATGCACCCCATGGACACCTGCTACCAACTTTAAAAAGAAGGCTACAGGTGCATTGTACCTGAGGACTGAGTTATATTAAGCATTTATATTTAACTCTAGCTGATACCCGTGACTTCGTCCACGTTGTTTGATGTATTAACAAAGTTTTCGTATGTGCGAAGGAAAAGACATCAAAAAGATCGCAAGCAAAAATATACTTTGCTTACAAAATTTCTTTGTAAACAATGTTATTCGTTGCTCCCTTTATACTTTGTAGCTAAAATATATAAATTATCTGGTTTAGTAGACGTACAGTTGACCGTATGAAAAACCCTGTATAAAAATCGTTCTTTCTTAAAAGTTTAATAACTTTATATTAAATGAAGACATCACAATTTTTTTCTCGATAAGAGCCAAGTGTCTAAGACACAAAACTTAGAAAACCTAATTGAAATATATCCTCTAAACTATAGAAAAACTACTTTATGCGATGGGCGCACAACTGCAAAGCTCTATCATTTTTTAACATTTTTTAATTCAAAATTTCAGGATTCTAGTTTCCGTGGCGAAAGATTTAAGAAATGACTTTTATCCACATTTCCCTAAATTCCTTGACATACTTATAAAATTGTTGAACACTAAGGATCCTGAGCGGTTAGAGTGGACATTAATTTGCCTGGCGTTTCTCTTTAAAATATTGAAACCGTATTTGAAGAAGGATGTGGAAACTGTACTAAAAAGGATTGTTCCACTACTGAGTGAGAGTCATCCACAGTATATCAATAATTTTGCTGCTGAAAGTTTTGCATTTGTTGCCAGGGATATAAAAGATAAAAGTAAATTCATTCAACATATACTGAATTACTTGCTAACAAATGATCATGTATGTAATAATATATACCATTATTTTTTAATTTTTTTAATCATGTGTATATAATATTTTTCTTAATTTTTATTTTTTTTACAGGCTATCGTAGGGACAGGTCACCTCATTTTTGAAATTTATAAAGGAGTAGCAAATAAATTTCATAGTTGTGCTGAAACTTTTATACCATTACTTCTCCAATATTTTAAAGAAAATCAGTTTCATCAAGAGATATTGTTCAAAGTTCTCACTCAGACAATAGAAGATACTTTACAAACTATATCACCTAAAGAGTTTCCAATTTTCTGGACACCAGTACTGAAATTTCTAGAAGATTCTTTAAAAGAAGACAATAGTGATAGCAGATGCCTAGAATATGTATTAAGATTGGCTGGTCAAGTAATTGAACATCAAAAAGGAAGATTTCTTTCAAATCCTCAGCAATTCTCAGTACTGCTTGTTAAAGTTATATGTGAACAGTCATCAGAACATGTGTTAGAAGTTTGTGCACAAATTGGTGCTTTGTTACTACTCTCCTCCAATATCCTTCTCACACAAGAACATGCCGGCATCATAATTAAAGCTTTGGTACCATTACCATTTCCAAAAATTCTTATTAATTTTGTTGAAAATGTAATTGATTATTCACAGTTTGATTTGCATATTCTTCCCCCATTTATAAATTTTGTTGTACAATCAAATTTCAGTGATGAAGCTATGAAAGCATTGTCAAAAATTTGCTTAACAAAATCACCATTGTCTAAAAATGGTTTAAAGCTTTTTGAATGGGTAAAGTATCCTTTGAATTTTGGTAAGGGTCTTCCATTGGTTATGAAACATGTACAAAACGTCCTTAATGATAGTATAGAAAGTCAAATGGAAAATCCTGACAAGTTAATGAGTGTCTTGTTTTGCTTACCTCATATTGAAAAACTAGATGTGGAGTTATGTGTTAATAAAATATGTGATGTTATATACCGTCTATTAGATATATTAGATAGTGACAGCCTTGAAGAAAAGATAGATGGAAATAAACTTGAATGTGATAACAGTGCTACAGCAAAGCATTCAAGAAAGGTTTTGTTCCTGCTTGCTAATACAATAGAGTGTGTTATACATATATCTAGTTGTAAAATGATTAAGAAAATTTGCGACATTGATAAATTGTTGCCTGTGATAGTTCCTCTTGCTGCAAATCCTAATTATTTGGCTGCTTTACAATTACTTGATTTATATCTGACGGCGTATGAACAAGAAAATGGATTAACATATGCATTTTTATCATTAGTTGATTCATATATTAGACCAAATGTGTCCTCTCCATTTCATATTGTAAGTAACAATAGACTATAGTTTTAAGTTTATTCAAGGTATTAATTTTCGCCTCTTTTTATTAATTTAAATTATGTTGCAGGTACGTTTATTAACAACACACATATACAAATTATTTGAAAATATCAAAGAGCTTGATAAATCTGCGCAAACAAGCGCTGGTGTGGAAAAATTTTCAATTTTTAGCAAATGTTTCGCAGTTGAGTCAATATCACCATCAATTCAAGAATATAGAACTCAAATAAATATTTTGCAGAAAATGACTTTTAATTCAATACAGTATGCACTAGCAAAAGATACAGAGTTCCACCTTTTTGCTTTAAAATATATGCTCGGACTTTTATATAATAATTTTAAATTACTTTGGGAACCTGTAATTGAGTTTATCGCCAGCTACGGAAATTCACTTGCTGTTGAAGAGTTTTGGCCTCCATTTTACGAAGTGCTTCAGTTTTCTTTTACTAATGTAAAGAATAACCTATGCGTATTTCAGTTCGAAAAAGAAATTGGAACAGAATTCGAACCTGTAAATGAATTATATAGTTGTTATAATAATATAATGGAACGGCCAGACTTATATAACTATAGAAATTTGATTTTGAAAACTATGACTTACTGCATACAAGCCTGTGAAGTAAAAAATAGAGATGTAGTATGCCTGTTTTTAAGGTTTATTGAAGATGAATATAGACAAAACATTAATATGAATGCACTTAAAGTTGACATTGAATTACATAATAATATGGAAATAGACGACGTAGAAGGTGAATTAAATGATAATGATGAAAATAATGAAGAAGACATGGAAGTTAATAAAATGAAAGATTCAGATTCTGGGAAAAAAGTATTTAAAACACTTATAAGCATTATGCAAGTTTTAGCTCAATTTAAAAACCCTAGAGCCTTACATAAAGAACCTGTCTTTTGGGAACTTTATATGGAGTTCTTAAAACATAAAAATTCAGGTCTTCAAAAATTCGCATTAGATTGCGTTTTAAACTACAAGAATAAGAATGTTATAGCATATAAATCAAATCTATATAATCTTGTAGACGACAAAAAGTTCAAAGATGAACTTACTTTATTTAAAATAACTGAAGATTCACAACATATCCAACCAGAGGACAGGGAACACGTAATACCAATTGTATTAAGAATTTTGTATGGAAAAATGACATCCAAGCTAGGTGCTGATAAAAAAGGTGGAGGACAAACAAAGAGGTCACTTGTGATGAGATATTTGAGCGGATGTCAAGAAAATGAATTACAAATTTTCATTGAAATGGCATTTTCATATTTACGAGAATACCTTACTATGAATCCAGAACAAATTTACAAAACAATATTGAACAATTTAGATTTGAAGTCGATTATTGCGCCGGGGAAAATTCATAGCGTACTCAAGTTATTTGATGTAGTACGTGAATATTTTGGCGGTTCTATAAAAGATCAGTTATTGTCACATTTACTTAAAATATTTTATGCAGTTTGTTCTCAAATTGCAGTTGTGCTAAACCAAGCTGAGAAAGTACACATTAGCTATATTAAAGCAATGAAGAATCTAAGAGCTCTTGCTATAAGTATATTGGCTAAGTTGTTTGATCAATTCGATAAATATGTTTGGACTGAAAAAGAGTTATTCGTATTATTTGAGACTCTTGTTTGGCCTTTGATGCCTAAACTTCATATTGAAGGCATTCATAGTCCAACGGCATTACTAAAATTAATAAATGTGTGGTGTCAGAATCCTAGATATTACATCCTGCTTATAACATGTTCTGAGGATGATACTAATCTGAGTGTTTTGCCAGCAATATTTAAATTACTGTTAGCTCCTAAAACTAATCCAGGGGTTGTTAATTTCATTTTAGATATGATTGAAAAGTTATTAACTTTAACAGAAGATGAAGAGGAAAAGGAGGTTGTACCAATTGAAACATTTAAATCGTTAGATGTAAAATATGATTTAAAATCTGAAATAAATTTCGGTAGTAGAATTTTGATTCCACACTTGCCTAGTATATTAGAAGTAATGAAACGGCGCATAGCAAACAGTGCAAAATCAAATACAGTTAATAAAAGGGATCTTTTAATTCTCTCAAGAGTAACTGAAATGGTTACTACACCGGAAATGTGTGATGACTTATTAAATCTTCTGCTACCAATTTTAGTAAAAAAAGTTTGCATGAATATGGCGGAAGAAAATATGGAGTATGCAGTCAGTATTATTATTAATCTATTAGGGCACAGTGCCACTCCTCAACGTTATATTAAAACTATTGCCGTTTTGTTTAACAAAGTTAGTCCAGTTGACGTAAGGAAACTTTTAATTAAACTGCTTGTTTCTATTGCTGACAACAAAGTAGCGGATGTCGATGTTTTATTGAAAACGGCACACATAATTACAGAAATGAACGCGTTTAATAAGAGATGGATAGAACAACCTGATTTTGACCGAAGATTAGAAGCATATAAGGAAATATACAAAATGGCGGAAAACAATGATATAAATGTGGATCTTGCAATACTTATTGTAAATAACTGCTTTTTTTTCATTCGTACAGAGAAAGATATTGGATTACGTGATAGTGCTAGCTTATGTTTAAAAAAAATTCTCCCTAAATTGTTGCTCAAGTATTGGTCAACTAATGATGGTCAGTTTCTAGTAAGGGACACGGTATTGTCTCTTATATCCACTGGAATAAGGGATAATAAAAATGAAAATTTACGTTTGGAATCTATCTCATTGCTCGGGGAATTAGCTAGAGAATGTCCTGAAGCCGATGTTGTTTTATCTGACTTAGCTCATTTTATAAACAAAGAGGACAGAGAAGTAGACTTTTTTGATAATATCTGCCATTTACAGCTTCACAGACGCGTAAGGGCCCTCTTAAAGTTTAGTAAGATTGCACGGAAAATGATCAAATGTCCTACTCCGCGAACTCTTACAAACTTTATACTACCTCTTGCTTCTATGTATATTGGAGATGATAAATATACAGACAAAAATTCTTTAATAGACGCATGCATCGAGGTAATTTCTACTTGCTGTAGACTATTACCATGGTATCACTACGAGGTCATTCTTAAATTATATTTAAATAAAATGAAACATTCCACTGAGCATCAGAAGCAAATGACTCGTATTTTGGTCGGAATAATTGACTCTTTTCATTTTGATTTTTCTAAAGTACGCAATATAGAATTACCTAAGGCATTGCTGACTAATATAGATTCTAGAAAGAAACAACAAAAAAATCAATCAGATGAAACTAAAACTGATAACAATAATCCTAATGAAATCGAAGAAGGAGAGAAAAGTGACGCGGAGGAGCAGGATAGTGAACTAATTGACGACATTGAAACGAACTTGCACATAGCGGACCAACATGAGGCAAGCGAGGTGCAAATGTCGAAAGATGTTATAGACGTACCTGCTTTTGAGCGAATAACGAGTGTTTCACCTTCCGTCGCCAACAGAATCATTAAGTCGTTGACTGCAGGACTCCTGCCTCAGTTGAATCAGTAAGTTTATTTAAATGTATTAATTTTAGACCACAAGGTTATCACAATAATACATTGGTATTTATAACTTTATTATAAAATGTATGAAATAGCATTGCTGTTATGAATTTACGAAACTATATTACCATTCTATTTTCTAAATTCAAAATAAACATCAATATTTTTTACATATGAATTACATATTGTACAAATTATTGATGGTGAAGTTCTTAAACGGACTGTATCGGCAAATGGTCGTCGCCGCTGGTGATAAGAGTTTTTTATTTTTCTCACTCAAAGGCTAAGTATTCAGCGTGGAATCGCAGCCAGTGTTGACCATATCACGGAGAGTAGAACTTAAAAGATAATTTTAGTGTTAGTTATTTTGTTATTATACTTAATATTGTATATTTTTGTGTTATGTAAATAAAAAAAGATTAGAACACATGATATTCTCATACACTTTAGAATCCGCTACCTCATATCATCACGTGGGTATCGTCAAAGGTGACAGAAGGAAATAAAACAGGAGATGGGTAGCAGAATCCTCCTCATAACAGCACAAAATATAAGAAAACCATTAGAGGAGGCCTATGTTCAGCAGTGGACATTTGATAGGCTGTTATGAATTATTGAATGAATTATGTGCCAATTTAGAATTTTTTAATTTCTGCATTTTGAAAGTAACTTGTGACGAAAATTATTAATTTTTTTTTTGAAAATTTTGACTAACTGTCAGATAATTGAAAAGTTACACAACATTCTTTTATAGTGCCATAGGCAAAATGACGGAGCACGAAGAATCCCATAAGCTGAATCGTCGACGCACTGGCTTTGTTCGCCAAGAGGAGGATATGGTCCGTGTACCGATTGCCTTAGCCCTGGTGAAATTGCTGCAGAGATTACCAGGTGATATTTTGGCACATCAACTTCCAGGGTGAGTTAGTTGCAATGAACTGTCACATATTTATCACTTAATCACTACTTAATTTTACATATGATCACTTTGTCATTAAGCTCATAATTAATCAAAGTCAAAGTCAAGTTTTAAGATTATAATACATGATAGATATTAAATTAAATCTAAAAGTTTATTCTATTGTTTTCTTTAAATAAAGCAATTTCTCAATTAATTCAATAAACCGGCTGATAATATATTTATTTTGCGACATATCCATTAAGACTTGCTCTGATATTCTTTGGGTGTTCCTAGATACTAATCTATGATCGTCACTTTTTAAAATTACCTTTAATATTGCATTTGTATTTTACAGGATCATTATTAAATTGTGTTCCTTCCTAAAATCACCATTGAAACAAGTGAGGATATCGGCGCGAGATATTGTCAAAAAAATAATGCTGACTGTTGGTACCTCGTATTTGGGTGTTTTACTAGAACATCTTACGTTATTACTTACCAGGGGTTTTCAAGTGCACGTATTGGTTGCTACAATACATTCGGTCTTGGACGCTTTAAAAACGGACTTCAAATCCGGTGATTTGGATAATAACTTACATTATATACTTGAGGTATGCACTAACGATTTGTTCGGAGCATTATCAGAAGAAAAAGAAGTGGAGAAACTACATTATAAGACGCCAGAAGCAAAACCAAGTAAAAAGAGTTACGTGACGTTAATGATCGTGTCTCAGAATATTACAGAGAAGTGCTTGATCAATCTTCTATTGCCTTTTAAAGATGTCTTGCAAAAACACACTTCAAAGAAAATAGTCTTAAAGGTACAAGAAGCGTTAATGCATGTTTCCAGTGGTTTGGTCACGAACAAATTCATAGATATCGAATCTTTATTTATATTTCTTCATGGAATAGCATCTGAAAGCATACCAGAGTTCGTTTTAGGTGCAGCAAAGAGAGAAATCTCTGAAAGTCAAAGAGAGAGAATGCTACGCGCAAAACCAGATTGTTTCTTAATACCAGAAGCGCCGAAACGCAACAAGGAATCTCAAGCGAGACTTGTTAAAAATTCGAGTAAGATCAACGCGCATGTGTTAGTAGAGTTCAGTTTGAATATACTGTACGTGATACTTAAGAGAGAAAAGGTCCCAAGAATGGATTGTCGAGCTTTCGTAGATCCGTTGATACCTTTGTTGGTGGATTCATTAAAAAGTGATCACGTCAAAGTTACAACTGTAGCGTTAAAATGTATAACGACATTGTGGACTATAAGAGTCAGCACACCAACGCTGGAGGAGATGGTCCAGGATATTGTGAAGATAATATTCCAGATACTGCATAAATATGCGACATTTGAGATAAGCAAACAGAATGACAACTACCATTTAGTAAGGAACGCTTTTAAGGTAAGGAGACATGTTAAAATGTTAGTAGATTTATATGCAAAATAAATATATATTCACAGATATTGATTGTCATGTCCAGGCCCATATTAACTATCAAATAGTTAAGACTACATCTAGTAAAGTAAGCTATTAAAACATATATCATGCCATGATCATATAGATGCATAGAGACATATGGATTTATGTTTAACCTTTTGATTTTGAAATTAGACTGCTTTTTGCTGTAAAGAAATGACATTGTCTTATTACGTCGATGATACTTTATTGTTGTATTAAAGTAAGAAAGGAGTTAATATTCTATTTGTTAAAAAAAGAAAGCTACGATGCTGGCTCCCTCAACCTTTAAACCGAATGTTACAAAACTTGTATAATTATTAAAATATATAAGGCGATGGTGACACATTCGTCTTTTACCAGTTTCGCCGATCGTCCGCCTTTTCACGTTCATTTAAAAATAATAAACTTTAGAATGCTTCAGTAGGAATGAACGTGTGTGTACGTACACTTTCTTTCAGTCCGTCTCAAACACCTCCTACGGCCTGCTCGAAAGCTGCTACCTACTTTTTATTTTAGGAAATGATAAAAGTTACACGATTCGAAATAAGGGGTGTAAGGTTACAAGAAATTGACCCATAAGCTTAATTGGTGTGTTATCCAGAAAGTCTCTCGTTTCGAGCACTGAGTGCGCGGCTGCGTTGTAATAGGGAGGCAGTATCCAGTGAAATTACGTGTTTGGTCACTTATTGCTCACAGCAGTTAACATTTCTGGCAAGTATTTGGTAGCCATTGGGCATTGATGCTAATTCGATTTTGTAAAGGAAATGGCACTAGACATCCCGTCAAAGTGAAAAAAACTAGCGATAAAATCTTCCATGCGCTTCTCGATCGCATAATTGGGAAGGTGATGGTTTATTTTGAAACAGAAAAACCTTCGACTGGCGCTTCTTTTATGTCATGTGCTGTCGTGGCCTGCTTCTGAGCATCGCTGAAGTTGTGCGGCACCCAACGTGAAATCATACCCCTCACAATCATCCGATTCAATTTAGCTCGTATAAAGTGTTGAGATGGTCGCAATTCTTAAAAAAGTATGAGAGTAGGTTGTTACGAAGACGCAGAGCAGATACTTTCGCTCCGGTAATGCTGCTTCGCATCCCTAGTTGGGACAATGTTGAATCAATTCTCTGCTTAATCGGTCGTCATCATCAGTCCATTTTATCAGAAAATTGTAGTGTGACAGCAATTTTGACAAATAATCTTCGGAAAAGTTCTTGTCCGCCTGTGGACTGTATACAGTATACAGTTTTATGGTGTGGAGAATGGGGATATATGTATAATAATATAAACTTATACATAGTTTGTTATTTCAACTTTCAGGCAGTAACAGTCTTAATAAGAAATGTAAAATATTATACACTAGAAGCTGATCAGCTCAAAACTCTTTTACTTTACGCTGAAGAAGATTGCCAGAGTGATGACAAACAGGCGAATTCGTTTTCACTTTTAAAGGCTATTCTAGAAGGGAGATTAGTGTCGCCAGAACTGCATGAAGTTATGGAGAAAATCTCGAAAATTTGTATATTGAGTGAATCAGCTAGGTCAAGGTTAGTAGTAAATCATTAAAACATATCTACATATAAACATATAGAGTAAGGCCAGCGAGACATAATGTAAATAAACTGCGAGGGATGTTACGACGTGAAATGCCTAAACATACCCATATCTATACAAATAAATAAAATTGAAGTGTCTGTTTGTAATGTCAAAATTACAGTTTTTTACTAAATGCATATGAAAGTAAATACGATACCTATAACTAAAATACAATTTTTAAAATTTTTGTCTGTCTGTCTGTCTGTCTGTCTGTTTGTTCCGGGTAATCTCCGAAACGGCTGGACCGATTTTGACGGGACTTTCACTGGCAGATAGCTGATTTCATAAGGAGTAACATAGGCTACTTTTATTTTAGAAAAAGAATCAGGGTTCCGCGCAGAAACATAAAAACCCTAACACGCGAACGAAGTCGCGGGGAACAGCTAGTTTTATATATTAATGTAGAAGAGAAATGCAGAAAGCTAACATTTAGTTATAACTAGCTGTTCCCTGCGACTTCGCCCGCGTGTAATTTAGGGTTTTAATTTTTTTGCGAGGAACCCTAATTATTTTTCTAAATTAAAAGTAGCCTAAGTTACCCCATATGACATCAGTTATCTGCCAGTGAAAGCCCCGTCAAAATAGGTCCCGCCGTTTCGGAGATTAGCCGGAACAAACAGACAGACAGACGGTCAGACAGACAGACAAAAACTTTAAAAATTGTATTTTAGTTATAGGTACCGTATTTACTTTCATATGTATTTAGTAAAAAACTGTAATTTTGACATTACAAACAGACACTTCAATTTTATTTATTTGTATAGATGTATAGATAAGTGTTACAAAAATAATAAAGGAAATAAAATATAACATTAATTGTTTACATTCACACTGCCAATGTCAAATACTTAACAGTCTGTGGTCAAACATGAAAAATGTAGAGATTATCTATACATATAATAAAACTGTAAATAGCAGATGTCTGTACATTTTATATTTTTGTAATAAAAGTGATTGAGGGGTACTAAAAATAAGTAATTAAATACATTTCTACCATTTTTAGAATTTTCTGTCTGTCTGTCTGTCTGTCTGTCTGTCTGTTTGTTTGTTAACGTATCACGTATAAAGTACTAATTTATATCATAAGAATTGTTAAGGAAATTATAAAGTGTATCTTCGGGTTACATTTAGTCTTTATTTCATTAAAATCAGTCCATTCCATCAAAAGTTATGATAAATATTCTGAAGTATGGGTAGGGAAGTATAGGTACGAATTTGCTCAACGGTGGCTTTGTTTGAGTCATCAAGTGCATTTTAAACTAATATCATATCATAAATCATAGTTAAATTATGTAAAATAATGATATAATTATGTATATCTAAAACGCAGTAAACAAAAGTATTAAAGAACGTATTAAATATATTATACAAAAATATATTAACCTTATTAACTAAACCTGAAGCACAATAGTTAACCCATTTCTTCGATAGATGGTGGTGTGGCATAAATATGATACAAAAAGGCAGGTTAAAATTTATTCCTGTAGTTGAGTTTCATATTTGCTTCTAACCTTTATATTAATGACACGCTGCCCTACTGCGTGTTGACAATCTCATTTATTTTTTATTTTTTTACCGCCGAGTACTCTATGTGGTAAATCAAATTTTAAGAGCTATTAACAATTTCATTTTTCGGCGAGGATCAAACTTTCTTTTTTGCTTACTATGCAGGCACTGATTTATAAGTTCTTTTATGTTTTTTATTGTATCAATCGTGTGAATTAATCTCTTATTTTTAGAATTGATGTTAACAGCGCCATCTCTCTTAAATCTATACATATAATAAAAATGGTAATAACATGTTATGTCTGTTTCTGAATATTGTATAGTATATTAATTTGCGACTAAAATCATTATTGGGACTGTAAATCATTAAATAAGTACATTTTTATAATTTTTAGAATTGTACTATCTGACGGTCTGTCTGTTTGTTTATGGACGCATGACGTTTTGAGTAAACATCTTTTTTTTTTTCAATGAAATCCTTAAGAAAATCATAAAGCGTATTATCAAGTTCATTTAATCTTTGTTTTATTGAAATTGGTTAATTCTATCGAAAGTTATGATTATTATTTTGAAATGTAGGTTCGAATTTGTTTAATGGCGCCACAAAATCCCAAAAATAGTAATAAAAAGATTCGTGTGTAAAAAAAACGTTCTATTATAATATATTTCGTATCGTTCTATTATAGTACTTAAAACACAGTAAAAATATGTTTTCCTTAAATTAAAAAAGGATGTTTTCTCACAAAGAACGTAATAGATGGCGTTGTACAAATTACAACCTTTTCTGAATTGCGGTGTTAAGATTTTTCGCAGGTGAATCGTATTGAGACTCACTGTAATAATTTATGTCCATAAACCTGACGAAGCTGTAAGCGTGTAAGGTATATATACAGAGGTATTGAAATATTTAATTATTCAACAAAACTCGACTAAAACTAAAAGTAGCAAAATTGCAATAAATGTCGTGATGGTGATATTGTTTTATAGCCAGAATCACTCTAATACCAAATAACTTTTTTTTCAGTTTTAAGTAAAGTAAAGTTGCAGCCTATTTACGTCCCACTGCAGGGCACAGGCCTCCTCTCATTTCTGAGAGGGTTTTAGGGCAAGGAAATGTCCACCGCGCTGCCCCAATGCGTGTTGGTGAACTTCACATGTCATCGAAATATTATTTTTTATTTCTCAAACATGCAGGTTTCCTCACGATTTTTTCCTTCACCGCCGAGCACGTGGTAAATCAGCACTTAAAATTGCAATTGACAATTTCATTGGTGCCGGCGGGGATCGAACCCGGGTTGCTCGAGTACTGTGAAGCTTACAGCGAGCGCTAACCATCTGAGCTACCACGGCTCAGGCTTCAGTTTTAAGATAGGGATAATAACATCGATGTTGGCATCGCTAGCTCAACATCGATGTTCGATGTTTAGGCCACTCAAAACATCGATGTTGACCATTATCGATGGTTTTTGTATATGTGTAGATAGTTACACATTGTTTTAAAATTATGTGGGTATACACAGCAAGGGAAAAGTAACAATTAACTTGAATATCAATTTACGTAGAATAGGTATTATGCGACAACCGACAACGACACTACAAAATAAAGCGAAAGCAGTGACCATTGTGACATTACAGGAGACACTTGACAATTAAGTTTGACCCACCATACTGACATTTTTTTAGATTAACGATGCGTTCAGAAATTCTGAATTATTCAAAATTTTTAATCTTCAGAGCAGATGCAAGATTTAGTTGATATTGATTTCGCGAGTTCGCATTGTTTGCAAGTTCCCAATTATCGATTATGGGTTCATTGACGTCGATGTTTCGATGTTTGACGTATGTCAACATCGATGTTAAAACATCGAAGTTTTAATTTTTAACATCGATGATCATCTAACATCCCTATTTTAAGTGTGTTTCCCACTCAGCGTGTGTTATGCGACGATCGTAAATAAAGCGCAAGGTCAAACTTTACGCGTCAGTACTGATTGTTTTGCATATGGCCAGCTCTATATTGCTTTTTCTCGCGTTAGTAGTCCCCGTAACCTTTTTCTGTACGCCCCGGCTAAGTCTACTTCTATCGTCGTTTACACAGAAGCTCTATCATAAACGACTTAGAACTTTGAGAATATCTATTTATTTTGTTACCACTTATTCATAGAGTAATGATATAAATCGGTTAATATTCTCTTACCCTAAACGTCAAATTCTTTAAGTAAAACCTATATTCGCGAGCTACGCCGCGGGCACAGCTAGTTGCTAAATAATTTTAAAATGTTGCCGACTAATAATTACTAACAGTTTGACTGAATGAGTATAATGAATGAGAATAGTCTGTGAAGTTTATGTAAAGGCAAAAAGCTATATTATATTTTGTATATTAGATATCTGTGTTTTATATATTAATGTGTAGTTGAACGTGAAATACAGATTGCTTAATTTACAAACTCAATAATTTAATGAATTACGGTCGAATTTCGACCCCTGGGCGACCACAAGTACATATAAAAATATAAAATTTATATTAAACAGGACTTCTAACCGCAATAACATGATCATGTAACTATTTTAGGGAGGAAGCACGTGCGCTTTTCGTTAATTACCTAACTTATTATACACCTGGCAAGCGTATGGACAAGTACATAGAGTTCTTTGTGACGCAACTTAACTATGAACTACAACATGGAAGGGAATCCTCCCTCAAGTTCCTCGAGATGATCATCAACAAACTGCAAGTGGTAAGGCTTTTAAATTACTAGATTTTCTGCGACTTCCAAAAAAGAGAGACTACTCAATTCGACAGTATGTTTTTTTTGTTTTTTATTTATGTGTGTTACCTCATAACTTTTTACTGGGTGAACCGATTTCGATGATTCTTTTTTTTATATGAAAGCTGATACTTCTCGTGTGGTCCCATATGAATTTGATCAAGGTCAGGTCAATAGTTTTTGAGTTATTCTTAATAACTTATATTGAAGTTGGCTGTACAAAATTTTTAATTATTAGGGTAGCTGACATATCTAAATCTTTCTATATTATTTAATACCGGTTTGGTAGCGATATGTCTAATTATTTGGGTTCGAATCCCGTCCAGAGCAAGTGATTGTGTGGTGCTCAAATAATTGCCATATTAGTGGCGGATTCTGTTTTGATTCAAAGCTCTCTTAGAAATGATTGGAGGCCGTTGTCCAATTGTGAAAATGGGGGTGAAACCATCAAGAGAAATTTTATGGACTGATGGCCATTGCAGTACATGAACAACAACATACAATCTCTCAAGACTACAGGTTAAGGTGACTCCTCCTAAAGAGTATCTCCTTAGATAGAGTAAATCACTCTCCATTTTAATTTGGAATTATACTGTCCCCTCTTACACTTTAACTGAAGCAAAATTTGAAGTGTTGGTGTTTAGTAGCAGGAATTGGGTGAGCAGAAAGAGTGTGGTACACGAATGGACTTTAATGCAGAATAGAAGTCCTAACATCTTGTATGATGATAATGATGGAGTGATGTCAGTCCAAGTTTTTAAAATATTCAGATTTTAATTATTTTATATTGCTGCCTATTTACTTACTTGGTAAAAATATTGTTTAAGATTTTCTGCTAAAGTCAGTTCAGCTAAATTATATAAAAAGCAGGGTTCCCTAATTCATTATCAGTCGCGAGCCGCTAATTATTTTTGCTGATAGATGAAAAATCCACCCGGCCTCGCCATTGACAACGAACCTAGTACCATAAAATACTGTGCTTGTGTACTGTGCGACACTTAAGAGACAGTCGGTTATGCGAGACGTTTTCATAATATTTATCACCTCCTGCCGTAGTGGTAAAGCTGTCAAATTGTGACTAACCATCTAAGAATTCATCACCACTTTCCACTAGGTGGGATTGTAGTCAAGCTTTTTTGTAGCATTTTTTACAGGTTTATAATAAAAATTACTGTTGCACAGATTATAAGATTAATCACTCAAATTAGATTGAGTTCTATTTTGTTTCTTTATTTTTTATATTAACAGTTTGTAAAACAAATTTTTTTTTATTAATATTATCAGGCACAACTTACGAAACATAGCGATTTCTTGTTCCTGGCGTTAGGAACGTGTATGCTTAATGATAGTGCGCCCGAATGTCGGGCATCAGCTGCCGGCTGTATCGAAGCTATCTTAAAGAAGTTTCCAGCAGTAGAGAGGAATAAACTCTTCAATCTGGTTTTAGCATTCTTCCAGGATACTCAGGTATGTTGGGCAGTTTTATAAAACAATATTGCAATTTTAGAAGATGAACCAGGAAGTTCTTCTTTATTTATGTAATACTTAGTAATTTATATAATAAAGTTTGGAAAATGTTTTTGTATTAGTTTTTTCTTACATAAACCACTATTTTATTTCAAGTTTAATTACCTTATTAAAGCTCAATTCAGTTATTTTCTTTCTTTATCGGCCCGTTTTATTTTGAACAAATTATAGTAAAAACATGTATTTTAAATAATAACATTTTTGTATTCATTAATAAACGTAAGAGCACATAACTCGGTTTCTCGGTCGATTACACTACATATTGTAGTATCAGAAGGACATTTTTTATATGTGGTAGAGCCATGCTGCAGCTATATTACTAGTATAGTTGTAGCACGAATGGGTCGGCTCCACCGGGGAAGGACCACACTCTCACAGAATACCAGCGTAAAATAGCAGTTTAACATTGCTGTGTTTCGTATGGTGATTGTAGAGAAACTGAGACCCATTTTACTGGAAAAGAGACATTCCATCTTAGTATGCACGGGTGACAACGCATCTGCATTTTGATTCGTTATTGAGGATAGATGTAGATGTCTATGGGTCACAGCAACCACTTACCATCAGGTGGACTGTGTGCTCGTTTGTCACCCATTACTATATATATAAAAAAACATAGGGATGTCAAATGCTACCAACATACTTTTATTTCATTTATTGAAGGTAGACTCGTAACCGACGAGCATGTGTGCGTAGATATATAGATGTGAAAGAAGCGTGAGAGGTGTGTCAAGATGGAGCCAAATGGAAGTCCGTAGTTCCTGCCTGCCCATATGACTGACAGGCGTGAGAGTTTATTTATTATATATGTATATTTTTATTGCAGCCCGTGCACTTCGAACTGGCAGCACAGTTGACGACAAGATTCGTCAATGTCGAAGGAGAGGAATTTAAAAATCGCCTGAACACTATTTTATCACTTGTGTGTGGCAAAATACTTCTGCTCAGCAACGACATCACCGAAGGGAGGTTTGTCAAGGTCAAACTAGACCAGGGAGACAAGACTGACGAAGATAAACAGAAAGAGAAAGACCACAGTCTGATACAAATGTTGAATCTTATTGATAAAATCACTGTTCAATGCCCGTCCAGTATGAAAAATAAAAATCACTTTAGCGAATATGATGATATCGGACAGCAATGTCAAGCGTTGCTAGGATATCCCCACGCTTGGGTTAGGTTAAAAGCGGTCAAAATACTTGGGCAGATACTATCGTCTGTAGATTTTGAAGAATTGGATATGATGGTGAAAAATAAGTTGGTGTGTGATAGAGGTTTTATATACGACGAGACAGAGGCGTGCTTGAGGAGTATCATATTAGATTTGTGTGCTCAATATACTCCTAGTGCCAGTAAAGATATGGTAGATCACGTAAGTAATAAATATATTAATTTTCAACCACTAGGTAAATTGTCATATGATTTCTGTTTAAAAGAACATTACAATTTTCTCTTGTGTTGGGGATGTTTTTTATCATTAATGCTTTTTACTTGGCTTGGACGGACATTCAGATTTGTAACTATAATTTTAAGGTCTTACAAACACTTGTTCCATACGGAATTCGAACTCGCAACTGTCAAACACTTAGCCATCGTAATGTATATTGCAAAGCACTCAAAACTTCGGAAATAGTCCACTTCTTACATGAAAGTGACAAGCGAGTAGACTTTTTAAGAGGACTCTACCTCCTTAAATAAGTGACTTGTATAATGACCAAACCAGATATAGAATTAACTACTAGGGGTTATAATAAAACTACCGAGTGCTTGATACAAGTGCTTTATTACGATATCATGCATCTTAGCTATACTATTTGCAAAGCTCAAATGATATCGAGATTTAGGAATACGACAAATTTTTAACAGTACCATCTAATGTCAAAACATTGTATTAATAAAACTTGTATATGTCATATATATGTAAATGTAGTAATATAATTGTGTATAAGTAAATTGTTTAGAAGTGCCATCTAGTATCAAAATATTATAACATATTAATGCGTTGAACAGGACTCTTGCAACCATCTCCGAACAATGATGACTTTAGGTGCGTTGTTATCATTTAAGGGGCTACTCCATGCGAACGACCTTGAGCATTTGACCGCTTGCTACAATATTAATATATTGTAGCGAGCGGCTCGCCGGAAGAAATATGTAAGACGCCACCTATTGTACGAAAGTAGTATTATTTTTTCAACATCAATAAACTATTTTATGGAAATACACATAGCGTACAAAGATAAATGTATTTTAATTTTTTTATTCTGTATATATTAGTTGCATTATATTAGAATTATGTATTTTCATATATTATCTAATTATGAAATTTTATAATTAATTATATATTAAAACTGAAGCATTGAAAATTGTGAGTTTAAAAGATACCTATTCACTATAGGTAAATAAATAGATAGCTCGGCTTTTGTACAAATATTTGGTGCAATAAAAAATAAATAAATAAATAGGATGTTTCGCATATGTGTTTTTGATTATTGTTAATTTTTACGTGTCACGTATTGAAAAGTTACCTACTAATTTTTGAACTTATGCTGGCAGATATTATCCTCACCCCAATGATTGATGAGGATGAAAATCAATTTTATTTCTACATACGTAATTATATTTATTTATACATAAGGGTAACTTTAATAAAGGTAATACAAAAATCAACAAGAAGTATAAGGGTTCAATCTTTCAATTTCAGTTGTAAAAAAACGTTACCCCCACACTAGGATTTTCTCCTGTGTCGTGGAGGCAGTTTACAAACATAAATTGCACAAAGACAAACATCCAGACCCGGAACAATTATTTGTAGGCCATACAAATACTTGTTCCATGCGGGATTCGAACCCGCGGCCCCCAGCGCAACAACTGATTGCTAAGCCACTGCGCCACCATGAAGCTAATACAAAGACTAACTTTGTATTTGCTTCATGGTCGCCGGGTTATAGCTAAAGTGACCATACGTCCCGTTTTGAACGGGACTGTCCCTTTTCTCGGTCTCCTGTCCCATTGTCCCCAAACAAAGCTCCGGGACACAAAATTGTCATGTAACTAGTTGGATGGAAGTATTCAAAGTCAACAATCTTCAACATAATTTTTTTTAATCGAATATATTTTATGTCTACCTGGTACGAATGCTCCGGTAGAAAGAGTATTTTTTTATTTTGCATAAATTGTGGACGTCTGAAAGAAACACTTACGGTTCCAGAGTTCTAAAGGCGATGTTGTTAACAAAGATAACAATAAAAAACTTGAGCAGAATTTTATTCTTATTTAAAATCATCACCAACTTTATTAAAGCAAATTTAATCCACTGACAAATGTAATTAATAATTAAAAAAAATATGTTGCATTTAATAATTACCGTCTATACCGAATATAATTTTATAGTGAACACTAATTGTATAAAGTTATAGTTTTTAGAGTATAAATAAACCCATGTCCTGTTTTGAGTTAAAAAATAAATGGTCAGTTTAGTCTTTTTAGTTAAATTTAGTTTTAAAAATTTTTAGTAGTAAAAAGTAGGTATATTAGTACCTACTTAGATACTTTTTACCGAATTATAAGTATAGAACACCTTATGTACTCAATTATTTTTTGAAAAAGAAGAAAAAACAAGCAATAAATAATATACTATATTTTAGCAAAAAACTATAACTTAGTAATACTAATTATAACTTAGAACAAAAATGAAAAACTCATAACTGACCTTTTTCCCGACCCAGGATTCGAACCCGGGACCTCATGATCAGAAGTCGCACTACTACAACCACTAGACCAACGAGGCAGTACTATACCTGATAAGATATTGTGGTTGGGTGATAATATTGAATTAGCCTTTTATAGTGTAAATTATAATATTTGTCGAAATTTTAATTATAGATTCGAACCTTACATGCTAATGGTGCTTCATTTTTTTATTTGCATTTACTTCAAAGAAAATACACGCAAAAAGCTTCATCGCGCAGTAAAAAACACAACAAATATATGTATAACTAATACGAAAAATTATACCCAAAACAAACAAATAATACTACCTATAAATAACCTAATAAGTAATATTATTTATCGACTGATATTACGTGAGTGTATGCGGCGCTGGTCGACGCTCTAACGACACGGGCTTCGCGTCGAAGAGCTCAGGGCTCACTGACTTAGCAAGCCCGTGAGCAGTGAATATGCCCAGATTTTAAAATAATTTCTTAATAAAATCAAATTTTGGTCTTTTGAAAAAAAATTTACTATAGAAATGTTTATTAATAAATTGCCTATCCATTGGTGTAAATCGCAAAATAAAATAATACTTACTTTACGAGGAGATCCATGTTATCAATAACAATTTCACATTTATGTGGTTTCGTTGTAAGGAGATTATATTAATATTTATTCGATTAAAAAAAAATTGGATATAGCTTTTATGGAATCAAGATTATGTAGAAATATAATGTGTTTTTTATTTGTTGATATATCTTATAAATAAAAAGTAGATAGCTTCTAAAAACCGCCCAAATAACGACTGGCGCGACATTTTGCTCAACCTGCGCCTTAATGCCTCATAGTTTACAGCCTGTAATTATATTTGCTTGCTTGCTTATTTCCTCTATGTCCTTAAGATAGCTGCTATAAAGATTGTTGGTATCATCCCAGACGAGTTCCTGTTTATTTTCAATCCGAGGTTGGTAACTGGTGGTTCATGGACCATTGATGGTCCCCAAAAGGTATCGGAAGTTGTCTGCGATACATAAATATGATGGTTGTTGTGCAGGTACTGCCGATACAGCTTACAATACAAGGTGTTGCTAAATTAAAATAAGAGGCGCTCATTGACGCCACAAATATTTTTTTCTACGAGTTTTATTTAGAATAAAACTCGAAAAAATATGAAATCAACCTTATCACACTTTATATTATGTCCTAAATTGGCGGTCCAATGCAATACAAAAAAAAAAAAATCGGTCAATTCTTAGAGTATTTATAAGCAAACTAGAAGAGGCGCGTATAAGCTATCTTATCAGTACTGTTAGGGTCAGATGGTCCTTCATCACTAAAAGATTCAGAACCACTGGGTTAGAAGGTATAAACCGAGTCCTGTTACCAAATAAAACCTATTTATTTTACAGGTAACCGACGTGTTGTTTTTAATAATCAAACTGGTGCATTCAATGACTTCTTTCAAAATAACAAACAAAATCGAAGCAGAAAATGGCGAAACAGACAGTTTGGCGAGAGTCAACATCCGTTGGATTTTATTCAAGTTGAGGAGAGCTGTCAATGTAGAAGTTGCAAAGGCGCCTAATTCTATGCATATTGTAAGTGGTTTTTGAATACTTTGTTATATTTGTCGTTATCAACTTGTAAGACCATGTGTTTAAAGGAGTATCTCTAATACGGGCCATTATCACTTGCCAGGTGGATTGACGATTGCAGTACTAGACGTTTTGCATCTTTGATTATGCTCTCAGCGACTGGTCTTTTTGTATAGTCTGTGCGCTTAATTACGTTCGCCTTTGTGTCGCGCCGCCTTTGCACATGCCGAATCTTGTCAAAGGCGCCGCCGCAACATCAAAGGTTGCCGCGTGCGGCGTACACCGGCAGGAGAATTTGGGATTAGGGATGGGCAAGGGAAAAAATATATCGATATATATCGAATCTATATTTTATCAGTACAGTATCGATATTCGATACTCTAAAATAAATATTGATATGACGATATATCGCGATTTATAATATCGACGATATATATCGATCGACATATCGATATTTTTTGCCCAAGCCTATTTGGGATTTTAAAACTAAGCGGCGTAGTGAAAGGTTCTTTGTTACCTAACTTGTGTTTGTTATTTATATTCGTATTTTATTACAATAACAATAATAGAAAGAACATTTATTTAACTAACAGTAAAAAATAATTAAATAAAATCAATAAGTGCGTCTCCGAGTGTACACCGACACTATCTTAGCGAACATACTATACGAGATTTTTATACCGCCATCTAGGCTAAAAGAGGTCTATAGTCGACTCTTACGACGCCCATGGAACGAAATAGGGTAATATAATTTCATACACTGTCATCACACAGTAAATACTGTCACTAACAATTCATAGTAAAAAAATTTACTTATTTTATAATGATTTCTTATATTTACGCTAACGCTACACATTGAATAAAACTACTTTTACGGATTTTATCGCGTTTAACTTACTTAAGTTTAAATTCCCGACGTTTCGCACCCATGGTATTAGTAGATTTTTTTTAAACATGCATTTCAATATTGTTTTATATCTTTTAATGTGTGTTTCAATTGGATAGTTGACACCATAATTATTATCTATTTTAATGTGTTTGAACTTGATCGATTGTCCATTTTGAATGAAATTAGATTTTAGTATTTAAAAATATTTAAATAAGGAGATTATTTCATTAGAATCTATAATGCCCAAAGGATTAGTAAGCTGATGTGGCAATGGGCCAACAAAATATCTCGAAAAACCGACAGCCTATGGGGAAGAAAGGTTGTCGAGTGGCAGCCTTGAACCGTTAAGCGAAGTGGAGTGACGACCTTGTAAATGATGCAGGAAGTCGATAGATGCTGGTGGCTCAGGACCGTGGTTTGTGGCATTCCTGGCAGTATTGTATTGTATTATTATTATTGGCGTGATTCAAATAAAATGGTGGTGGAATCGAATGTATAAAAATTAATATTTGTTTGTTCGTATTTTATGCGCTTCCAAACCGTTCATCAAATTGCGGTAAAACTTTGTCAACATATTGCTTGAACTTCCGCGAAGGTTATAGATGTAGTACAATCAACTGACACTAGGTGGCGCGCGTACCGTACGGTCAAATTTATTTCAAAGTTATTTATCATTAAACTTCAATTAATGCATCATCATTCCCAATTAAATGATACAACTCTGCCAAGTTTAAAACGATATTTCCGCAATTATTTCTTCTGCGGCTGCACCGCGCCGGGTACCAGCTAGTTATTTTATAAAATCTTCACATCACACACTTTTCTATGACAGGCAATTTAAAATATAACAAATCAATGCAGTATTCGTAGTGTTTTACATCAATCACGAAATATTTATTACTTTAGTATTATAGATTTGACAATCATCAATTATTTCATTTTCAGCGTACAGCAATATTCACGATGTGGCTCCACGTAATCAGTTTCTTAGAACAAGAGGACCTCAACAGGGTCATTGATGTTATCCTGCCTCCTATAGTTCGGGAGCTTTCCACTGGGGACGCATCAACACCTGCTACAATAGCTAAACAGTTAGCTGGAAGGTTGGGCAAGAAATTAAGAAGGAAGATCGGTGATATTGAATACAGTAAATTGGTGGCAGAGGCGCAAACAAGACTGAATATGAGAAGGGCTGAGAGGAAGAAAGTAAGTTTGAAATGTGTTAAAAGACATTTTTTTCTTCAAAAATTTGATTGGTAAAATATTAATTTTAAGTTAAGATCAACGTTAGTTATTCTATTTTATGATGAAGGTTTAGCCTCGATTGTAGTAGTGACATGTACCGACAGGCGTGTTTGTGTGTGTAACTGCGATTCGTTCGACTCACGTACGTAATTGAGCGCTCCCGGGCCTACGTACACTATTACAATGTGTATACACGGCTAACAACAACCAAAGTCAAACCTTCATCATGAAATGAATAACTACTAGATTTGACGGCTCCGTGCCGCAGTGGCTTAGCATTGAGTTGCGGCGCTGAGAGTCGAGGGTTCAAATCTCGCGCGGTACAAATATTTGTATGGCATACAAATAATTATTCTTCCGGGTCTGGATGTTTGTCCTTGTAGAATTTATGTATGTAAACTGCCCCTACGATACAGAAGAAAATCCTAGTGTGGAGGTTACTATTTTTTTAAAGTAAATTAATAAGAGTAAAATAAATTAATTAATGACTAATTACGTTACCAATACAAGTTCATTACGATTAATTTAATCTATGCTTACCCAACAATTACCAATAAATGCGGCTTTTGATGAAAAATAATCTTTTACAGATAATTCTGCAAGAAAAAGTGCACAATCCAGAAAAGGCAGCCAAAAGAAAACTACAGCTCAAAGAAAAGAAGAAGCAAGCAAAAAAAGTAAAATTGGACATGCTTCATGGCAAGAGACCGAGAGGGAAGAAAAGGAAAGCAGAAGACATTGACATTGAAGATCAATTGCTGCAAGATAATGATGAATAGTATGACGGGAATAGTTATAAAAATTGCTTTGGCTTTATTTTAAAAGGTGTATCAAAAAGAGCTAACTTAATTTAATAAAATAACATTTTTCTGTAAATATTAGCTGTAAGTTTCATTTGTATATATTTATATTGAGTTAAAATTTGCAATTAAAAAATTTCACCGAGTTATATGGAACTTTATTTTTTTAACTTGGATAAATAAGAAGAAGAGAGTGGTCAAAGTGAAAGAAATCATCATGGGGTCAAAGTGCCTCACTACCAAATTCTGGGCTCCAGCTTGGCTTAATATTTATGTAATAGCACAAATGATAGAGTTTTGAGTCAGTGTTTTAAAAAAGATCATGTCTATCTCTGATCTATTTATTGTAGAAATAAAGGGTGTCATCGGTGTCATCTTAGTATATAGGTAACGAAAGTTAGTATTTGGAATGCAGTATGCAGTGCCAACTTAAGCCAACATGCCCTATGTCCGATCTTTGGAGCAAGTGTTTCAGTAGCTCATATACGTGTGAAGATTCTGATTAGTATCCGAAAGGTGTTTGAAATCTACAAAGATAATCTAATCTAATAAAATAAGTATGCGTTAAAGAGTCGAGGCTTGCAGTAACCCCACTTCCCCCATCTTTTGAATTTGCCAGTAAAAGTAAAATTAAAGTCGCTGAGTCATTACTCAAACGAAAAGTAAATATCAACATAAAAGCACATACTATTCATAAAGTATTATCAGGAGATGTAATGAATTATCAGAAAACGTTTTAAAACTATTTCATACTTTCTACATAAATAATTTCAATAGAGAAGATGGTTGTGTTTTGTACAGAAAAGCTATATAAAATATTTGAGCTACTTACTGTAAGAAAATTATATATTTTATAAACCGTTTTAAAAATGCATAGTAGTCTGACTTATGATTCGACCATTTTGCGGAAAAGAAGAGTTACAGAAATTGTAGCGCAGAAAGTAAATACAAAATTTGCTTCTCATCAATATAAAAAACAATCAGTTTTTATATACAATATAATATATATTAATAAATATAATAAGATATAATTGTAACCACTTGTTGATAAAATGGTTAAAAAAATTAAACTATGAAAAGCTATTTTACAATGCATTAGTTAGACACTACAATATTAGTAAGCAAACACACGCACGCACGCACGCGCATGCGTATGCGCACACGCACACACACACACACACACACACACACACACACACACACACACACACATCCTACATACTTTTCTTTAATAGTTTATTATATCTTACGGATTAAGTTGATCACTATCTGTATTATGGCTATGAAGGAGCGGGATTTTCTGGCACAGGTGTTTTTACACTTAAAACAAGATTCCAATCATGTTTCAAGACCGTTGTAAAGTTTTAGTTGATCAATAAAGATTTTATTTATTATTTATTTATATTTATTTGTGTGCTACCATCCGCTTGGGATCTCTAAATTAATCAAATTAAATCCAAATCATGCGTACTTACTAAGTAAGAAAAAAAATTAAGATATTGTAAGCTAATTTAGAGTTATGATATAATCACTACGTTTTAGGTGTCTTCATAACTATAACAGCAGGAGGACATGAACTACCTTAGTGGTTGATGTTCACCATTACCATGTGTGCTGCAAAGATAAAATCCGTAAAATAAGTTTTATTCCATGTGTAGTATTCGCGTATACTACACTGGTTTAAAACTTTGAAGTCAACAATTTGTTTTTGAACGGTAAAACAAAATGTAAATGCCAGTGTGCTTTTAAATAGGGAGTTAGTCACTGTTTTCCCCGTATATAGGTACATTTGACGCGAAGCTTCAGTGGGATCTCATCAAAGAGATTTAAATATATAGGCTCATATATCCAAACTGGTTATCAAATTTCATTCTGCAGATAATACGAGTAAAGTTGCGTTTATTCGTTTTGCAAAAAAGAGCCAAGTGATGTAAGTACGGTGAATCACTTCCGTCGTGTATGATTACTTTGCGTCGGCCGTGGACGCTGGTCCACTGGACCTTGTAGTGTTATGCTACTTACTTATCATTTTACATTATTTTAAATTCATTTTTTCATTCTGTTTCGATTTTCTGCATTCACTTCAAAACTGGATATTTTACATCACCTTTATTTCCATAGGATCCTGTAACGATTTTAAACCATAAGAACACAATAACAAATCATTTCTACTTCGTATTTTCACATTATCAGCACTTTTAAATTGGTGTCAATGGAGTCTACCTTTTTTCGATCTTTTAGTTAGTTTTCCGTAACTCTACAATCTCGGGCTTTGTGTGGGCAGTTGCGCTACCTTTTTCCTATATCCCTATATCAATAATATCTCATTTTCCACTTAAATCTTGCCGTTTTCTTATTACAAGCCTAAAACCAAAATTTGACATGTTTTGACATTGTTGTTTATTTGGTCTCCATAGCAATTATATTCAAATTTGCTACCGGTCTGTTGTTTCTATTTCGATAATTCCACATAAATACTCTTTTCTCTTGACCATTTACAAAAAATTTGCGTTTAATTTAAATAATTTTTCCGTTCTCTCTAGAAAGGTATAAAAGCCGAAGAATCGGTGAAGAAATTCAGTCTTGCTTCAGTTCTCGAATTGGAAGCATCTTCTAAAGGCCTCATCCCGGGGCCGCACTGCCCCGGGATCCTGCAAGCCTCTGTCCTGCCAGAAACCACTGGACTCTACGAAGCTCTGCTCTACCTGAAGTCGCTGGACTCTACAAACCGTTGCTCTGCCTGAAGTCGCCGGGATCCTACAAGTCTCTGCTCTACCTGGAGTCGCCGGAACCTGCAAACCTCTGTTCCGCCTGAAGTCACCGGAACCTGCAAACCTCTGTCCCGCCTGCAGTCACCGGTTCCTGCAGGCTTCTGTGTTGTCTGAAGCCGCTGAGGATCCTGCAAGCCCCTGTCTGGCCTGAAATCGCCGGATCCTGCAATTACCACATTCACCGGAGGTCGTCGCCTAGAGACGCCCACGCCTCCTCACCTACGCCGTGCGTGCTCGTTCCAGGCGCTGAGAGCACACCTTGGATCTTCAGACTCAGCTTCGGCACTAATCTCTTTTTTTTATTACTTTTTTTTAAATAATCTGTAAATCGCATCATCCATCCTCATATTCATACTCTATTTTTGTAATATAAAATTGTAAATATTTTTGAATCTTAAATATATTTTTTGCTTTTGTTGTATTTTTGTTATTTTGTTGTTCTTAGGTTAGATTCTTTTTGTCCTTTATTGTCGCTTCACGACATTTGGCGCCCAACGTAAAAGTTCTCTTTCTCTTCTCTTCACCTTTACTGCGCCTTGTCCATTCCTTTTGATTTAATTGCTTCCTCTTTCGTTTTTAACTCTTTATTTATTCATCCTTTTCATACCTTCCAAATTCTAAAACAACACTTCATCTAGTGTTTCAACTTATCTGGATTATATTTAGACCTACATTTAACACTTACATTCATCACTTTAATATTTTTATTGTAGATAATCTTCCAAATTCTAAAACAACACTTCATCTAGTGTTTCAACTTATCTGGATTATATTTAGACCTACATTTAACACTTCACTTACATTCACCTTCCAAATTCTAAAACAACACTTCATCTAGTGTTGCAACTTATCTAGATTATATTTAGGCCTGTCATGGAACTGTCATGGAACCCCCTCTTGTTTCTCAAACTTCACCATCATTCTCATCTTCACCATCATTTTCACCTTATTATTTTTATTTCTTTTAATTTGTTTGTTTGTTTGATGATCCAGTGTTCTCCAACACATCTTGCTTTAGGACCTCGAACTTTCGTTGGTTAATCGTCACTTTTTATTTTTATTTCAGACACATCTCGTTGGTGATGTTGCTGATCTCTGGCTTTGAGCCCTACCGCTCTGGCCGTTCTTAATCTTTACTTAAGTCATAGCGACTAAAGCTTACTTGAGGTATTTCTTTATCTTTATCTTCACTTGGGAGCGGTTGACTACTCCCTTAATAATTTTTTTTTCTCCACGCAGGAGCGGATGACAACTCCTTAAATAAGCCTGAATGTCCTTTCGAAAACACACTTTTAGAGTGGTAGTCATTGAATGTGAACTCCACCCTTACCTGAATGGCAGATGATGAATGTAAGAGATAGTATATCTGATTTTGCCTGGTGATGTCTGTTTCTGCAAAGCTGTGTTTTTATGGTTTATTTTAGAATGTATATATCAAAATTTTTGCTGAGTCAAAAATTTTCCAGGGTCGAGGGGAAAATGTAGTGTTATGCTACTTACTTATCATTTTACATTATTTTAAATTCATTTTTCCATTCTGTTTCGATTTTCTGCATTCACTTCAAAACTGGATATTTTACATTACCTTTATTTCCATAGGATCCTGTAACGATTTTAAACCATAAGAACACAATAACAAATCATTTCTACTTCGTATTTTCACATTATCAGCACTTTTAAATTGGTGTCAATGGAGTCTACCTTTTTTTCGATCTTTTAGTTAGTTTTCCGTAACTCTACAATCTCGGGCTTTGTGTGGGCAGTTGCGCTTCCTTTTTTCCTATATCAATAATATCTCATTTTCCACTTAAATCTTGCCGTTTTCTCATTACAAGCCCAAAACCAAAATTTGACATGTTTTGACATTGTTGTTTATTTGGTCTCCATAGCATTTATATTCAAATTTGCTACCGGTCTGTTGTTTCTATTTCGATAATTCCACATAAATACTCTTTTCTCTTGACCATTTACAAAAAATTTGCGTTTAATTTAAATAATTTTTCCGTTCTCTCTAGAAAGGTATAAAAGCCGAACAATCGGTGAAGAAATTCAGTCTTGCTTCAGTTCTCGAATTGGAAGCATCTTCTAAAGGCCTTATCCCGGGGCCGCACTGCCCCGGGATCCTGCAAGCCTCTGTCCTGCCAGAAACCACTGGACTCTACGAAGCTCTGCTCTACCTGAAGTCGCTGGACTCTACAAACCGTTGCT